TCCACCGTAGGTCACCTTGTTCAGCCCTCTCCATACTGGATCGGCTTACCACAGGTCACCTTGTTCAACCCTCTCTATGCTGGACAGGTCAACCATGGGTCAACTTGTTCAGCCACTCTGTGATGGACAGGTCAACCATGGATCACCTTGTTCAGCCCTGTCTATACTGGAAAAGTCAACCATGGGTCACCTTGTTCAACCCTGTCTATTCTGGACAGGTCAACCATGAATCACCTTGTTCAACCCTATGTACCCTGGACAGTCCAACTGTGGGTCACCTTGTTTAATCTCCTCTATCCTGGACAGATCAACCATGGGTCACCTTGTTCAGCACTCTCTGCACTAGACAGTCCCACCTTGGTCACCTTGTCCAGACCTCTGTATGCCGGACTAGTCCTCCATGGGTCATCTTGTTCAGTCCTCTCTATGTTGGACAAGTCAATCATGGGTCAACTTGTTCAGTCCTGGATGGTCCCACCTTGTTTAGCCCTCCCTATACAAGATGATTTGAAACCGTCACAACAATTGATGTGCACTCTTATCCTCCACATGGGCATTTGCCATGTCTATGGCCATGTTGGAAATTTCATGCAGATCAGGACTTTCGAGACTGAACAGTCTCACTATGGGTTTCCTTGTTCAGTCCTGTCTATGCTGAACAGGTCAACCATAGTTCACCTTGTGCAGTCCTCTCTGTGTTGGACAGGTCAACCACTGGTCACCTTATTTAACCCTATATGTACTGCACAGTCCCACCATGGGTTATCTTGTTGAGCCCTCTCTTTTCTGGTTGATATGATCAGTTATCCACCACATGGGCAGTTGTCTTGTCTATGGCCATGGTGATTATTGCATGCAGAGCAGGCCTTTCAAGACTGGACTATATCACCATAAGTCACCTTGTTTAGCCCTCCCTATACTGATTGATATGAACGTTTACCCACCACATGGTCAACTGTTGTGTCTATGAACATGGTAAATATTTTATAGAAAACAGGCCTCTCTATACTAGACTATCCCACCATAGGTCACCTTCTTCAGCCCCCTCTGTGCTGGACTGGTCAACCATGGGTCACCTTGTTCAACCCTCTCTACTCTGGAAATGTCCCATCGTGGGTCATCTCCTTCAGCCCCCTCTATGCTGGACAGGTCAACCATGCGTCACCTTGTTCAACCCTCTCTGCACTGGACGGTCCTACTGTAGGGCACCTTGTTCAGCCCTCTCTATGCTTGACAGGTCAACCATGGGTCACCTTATTCAACCCTCTCTAAATTGGACAGTCTCACAGTGGTTCACCTTGTTCAGCCCTCTCTATGCTGGGTAGGTCAACCATGGGTCACCTTGTTCATCCCTCCCTATGCTGGACAGTCCCACAGTGGGTTACTTTCTTCAGCCCCCTCTATGCTGGACAGGTCAACCAAGGGACACCTTGTTCAACCCTTTCTATGCTGGACAGGTCAATCATGGGCCATCCTGTTCAGTCCTCTCTCTATGCTGGAAAGCTCAACCATGGGTCACCTTGTTTAGCTTTCTCTATACTGGATGGTCCCACTGTGGGTCACCTTGTTTAGCCCTCTCTATACTGGTTGATATGAACTCTAAGCCTTGGTTCACACTGTTGCGGGTGATTGTGGGTACAGGAATTGCAGTTGTTCCCGCACCCTGCTCTGTAGAGAAATGCGGGGCTGACATTCAATCTTAAGGGCACCCTTCACACATTTCAACCCACAGCATGTTTTCAGGTGTGGGAAACGCAGGCAAATCACATGGTGCAAAAGCACCATATGATTTCCCTGTGGACTCATCTTGAAAATGCTGCAGGCACCTTTTTTTGTAGGAAGCGGAGGCACAGTAGCCTATTCAAATGACCTACAAAAACGTGACCCGCAAACCTGCTGAAGTGTGAAGTTAGCCTTATCCACCACATGGGTAGTTGTCTTGTTTATGGCCACTATTCATGTTTTATGTAGAGGAGGCCTTTCTAGACTGGACTGTCCCAATGTGGGTCACATTGTTTAGCTCTCCTTCTACTGGTTGATATGAACCCTTATCCACCTACATGGCCAACTGTTTTGTCCATGTGCAGGCTTCTCTATACTTATTTGTCCCACCATGGGCCACCTTGTTCAGCCCTCTCTATGCTGGACATGTCAACAATGGGTCATCTTGTTCAATCCTCTCTACACGGGGGTAACCATGTGGTTATTCAACCTTCCCTATACTGTGAAGACCTACCATGGGTCACCTCTTTCAGCCCTTGCTATGCTGAATGGTCCCAGCACTGGCTGATTTGAACTCCTATATATCATGTGGACAACATGTATATGGCCATGGTTGCTGTTTCATGTAGAGCAAGCCTCTCTGTACTGGACAGCCCCACTGTGAGTCAACTTTCTCATCCTTCCCTATACAAGACAGTCCCACCATGGGTCACCTCTTTCAGCCCTCGCTGTACTGAATGGTCCCACCACTGGTTGATATGAACTTTTATGTATCACATGGACGACCCTTATATGGCCATGGTGGACTCTTTATGGAGAGCAGGCCTCTTCATACTGGACAGTCCCAAAATGAATCAACTTGTTCAGCCCTCTTTCTACTATACAGTACCACCATTGCCTGATATGAACTCTTATCCACCACAAGGGCAGCTGTCTTGTCTATGGCCATGAGGAATACTTTATGGAGAGCAGTTGTCCCTATACTGGATGGTCCCATTATGAGTCCACTTGTTTGGCTCTCTCTAAACTGGACAATTCCAGCATACGTTGCCTTGTTCAGTTCTCTGTACACTGGATGGTAAAATGATGACTCTCCTTGTTCAGCCCTCCGTTTACTAGACAGTCCAACCATGGCTCACCTTGTCCAGCCTGCTCTATACTGAACAGTCCCAACACGGGTTACCTTGTTCAGCCCGCTCTATAATGCAGTTTCACCCCAGGTTACCTTGTTGAGCCCACTCTATACTGAATGGTCCCACCGTGAGTCACCTTGTTTGACCCTAAGTCTTTCATAGGCCAGCCTCCCAATTGGTCAGGGTTTGCACATGCTTTTACTGGATATCTACAGGGAATTTGTATGTTAACCTGTTAAATGTTTTATGAAACCTTACATTTCTGTGGCTCCATGCCTAAAAAAAATATACCAGAGCATCGTTAGCCACTCAACAAAGTGTTACTAGGATATTCCATAGGGGGTTGCCCACTTTCTTTAGGATTCAGTTATCCTACAAGCATGTCTTTGGAGTGTGGGAGGAAACCCACTGAAGCACAGGTACAGCATGTAAACTCCATGCAGATAGTGTCCTGGCTCTAGCCAAGGAGGATCCCATTGCTGCAAGGCAGAAGTGCTAACCACTATGCCACTGTGTTGCCAAAAGCCACCTTATAAAGTGAAATACCAGCAGGCCATTTGTGTTTAGCGAGACCAAACCATACAAAGCACCCTGGCCCAAGTCATATGGATCTGATAGGGACCTGAAGTGGTTTTAAAACCATAACTCCATGAAATTGTCACCCTATAGCAGCGAGTTTCTGAACAAGGTCCTTCACTACATCAGGGGTTAAAATTTCGAGTCCAGACCTACTAGCTGGCCACAAAACTTACTCTCCATTTGTTGCCCCACCCAACCTTGCCCAAGTCAGCTGCAAACCCCACCCCTGGTCCGCCCCAACCCCCACCCCAGCCCGCCCCAACCACGCCCCCTTAAAGCTTATGAAATTAAATTTTTCTTAGAATAAATAGTCCAAAATATAAAATTGTACACAGTAATGTATATCCCAGCTCCCCTGTACTCCATTATAGTGATAGGACATGTTGTATACAGTACCTACTGTCCCCCCCCCGAGTCCCCCGCGGCGGTAGAGAGGGTGTCTCTCCTGCACAGTCCCCCTTGGCGGCGGTGCCGCAGAAGCCGGAAACTGGAAGTTGTAAAACGGAACTCGGCTTCACAATGAGGCTTGGAGCGCAGGTGCATTCGCTCCATGCTTCATCTGTGCTCACCGCTTGTAGCAGCTCGCCACAGAGGAATTTCTCCTCGCATTTGGCGAGCGGGCGAGCGTCTTTTTCAAGCCCTGATTACATGATCACCTGGTAGTAAGTTCATCACATTTGCAAAAGCCAAAAAGACTAAAAACAACTTCTGGAATGACATTCATATGTTTAAGTTTACTTTAGATTAGATTTTAGTGATTGGGTATAGATCTATTTTAAATGTTTTATTTTTTTTTATACCTTGACATTTATAATACTGTTGTCTTTTCAAATGCATTTAATCCTTTTTTTTTTACAGCAAATGGTTGAAATTGTTACTATTGTATAATGATTTTGGGAAGTACAAATGAAACGGAGTGTTGTTGAAGGTTTGGTCACCCCCCCCCCCCCACACTCCAAAAAAAACACAAAAACAAAATCAAAAACTCAAGTTATAAAGCAATAAACCAACAGGGCCAGTTGTCATTAGTTAACTCAAACCTAGTTCAGGTCATTTGAACTTTTTTTTTTTTTTTATTAGATCTTAACAATTAAATATCTGTTAATCAACTTTCAGCTGTGATGCTGTTATTTCATGTTACAAAATGTAACAGAGAAGCTGGGGAGCTTTTCTTCAGGCACTTTCTATACAAGAGGCCAGATATCCTCAATGTGGGTGCATTCTACTTAGTCTCCGTGTGCACGGGACACTTCTAAACGATGGAAACTGACTGCTGGAAAACGTAGGATAAAAAACGTCTGTTTAGCTGCGTTTGCATAATGCGTTTATGTGTGTTTAGAAGCGTTTTTTAAAGATAAGCACAGGAGACCCTCCCAAATGCCCAGAAAGCACTGGAAAGTGGTAAATTATTAACTATTTCAGAGAAATACAGAGAGTAGAAGCAGAGACAGCAGTATGTGTTGAGATTAGCTTAGGTGTGAGTTGATCATTAACATTTCTTTTGTTTCCAAGGGTGGGAAAGGTGTCTGGTGGAGGGAGTCATTAAGGCCACCTGGCAGGGGGTCTTCATGAGGAATCTGAGGTGTGAATGGTCATTAACATATCTTTTGTTTCCAAGGGTGGGAGAGGTCTGAGGTGTGAATGGTCATTAACATATCTTTTGTTTCCAAGGGTGGGAGAGGTCTGAGGTGTGAATGGTCATTAACATATCTTTTGTTTCCAAGGGTGGGAGAGGTCTGACATGTGAATGGTCATTACCATATCTTTTGTTTACCATATCAAAAGGGTGGGAGAGGTCTGAGGTGTGAATTGGTCATTACAATGTGTGACAAGCTTGGTAGGAACATCCTGTGTTCAGTGTTTTGTCCATCTGAGTACCTTGAAAATGCTTTGCATGCATTTTTCATGATGAAAAAAGGCTCTGGACAGCATCGGGAACTGGAAGAGTTAAAAAAAAATGTCAGACGCAAACGCTTATAAACGTGATTTGCCACGTTTAGCCGCATTTTACGCTTGAAACGCTGATAAAATCAACTGCTGAACGCACGTTTTCTACATTCAAAAAAACGTCTGTAAACTAAACTGCCTGTAAACGACGATGTGTACATGGACATAGGAAAACATTAGGGAGAGTTCAGGGGCTGCTGAAAAAAACGCAGAACAGTTCCTAAACGTGAGTTTATCAGCTGCAGTGTACATGAGCCCTTACAGAGAAAAAAAATGTGCTACTAGTATATTTTGCAGCTTTAAACAATTTTTTCATACTGGGAAATAACTGTGTCATAGGGTTTGGGGAGATCTGAATTTTGTAATTTTTTTAATGGCAGCTGATGGCATCGCTGTCCTTTTTTCTCTTGTTCGTAAAAATGGCGCACGTTGACCTGTGCTGCACATTGTCATAAAATATGGCATAGAGGAAGATGCATCTGCAGCATTTTAGAGCAATTTAAAGCTCTGCTTGGATCACAAAGGTTTCATTTAAATACATTCATTAATAGCCATGCTGCAGCTGCAACCATGAGCCCGCTCTAACCACTTGAAGTGCAGGACGTTTTAAACGCCTAAGGACACCAAGTGGTTAAAGGGTCAGTCTACCCAAAGCTGATATTAGTCCTCATGCACACGGGACGTTTTTACAGCGGCTGTTTTTGGCTTTTGACTTTTTGTTTCTACAGCCAGTAAACCCCCTCAGCATGTTCTCCTAGGTGTGCATACACACATAGACTGGAATCAACGTTTTTTGGCTGGGACGTTCTTTGGCTGAAAAAACCCCCAGAACTAGTGGGTTTCTAGAGGAGTTTTGTAGCTGAAAAACGTGTTTTTTTGTCCATTTTTGGGGCAGGGAGTTCCAGAGGATGGGTGACACCCTGGAGAAGTCCTGGAGGCGTGCATGGGAGGAGGAGACCAGGGAACTAGAGAGAAGGAGGTCTTCTTGTGAGGAGCGGAGTGTGCGTGTTGGGTGGTACTTGGATATTAGGTCAGTGATGTAGTTCGGGGCAGTATGGTGGACGGCTTTGTACGTCAGTGTTAGGACTTTGAATTTGATCCGTTGCGCAATCGGAAGCCAGTGGAGGGATTGGCAGAGGGGGGTGGCGGAGATGGAGCGGTTGGAAAGGTGAATTAGTCTGGCAGCCGTATTCAGGATGGACTGAAGCGGGGATAGCCAGCGGCGAGGCAGGCCGGTGAGGAGGGAGTTGCAGTATTCGAGTCGTGATATGATGAGGGAGTGGATGCTATACAATTTTCTTACAATTTTTTGTCCAATTTCCTTTAGATTTACCTTCAACTATGTAGTATGTAGTGCAAGGGCCCACCTAATTAGATACAATTGAAAGTGTTGTTTAGGTTTATTTATGTATTTCAGGTACTTATATAGCGCCATCAATTTACACAGCGCTTTACATATATATATTGTACATTCACATCAGTCCCTAACCCTCAAGGGGTGTACAATCTAAGGTCCCTAACTCACATTCATACATACACATACTAGGGACAATTTTAGACAGGAGCCAATTAACTTACCAGCATGTCTTTGGAGTGTGGGAGGAAACCGGAGTACCCGGAGGAAACCCATGCAAGCACAGGGACAACATGCAAACTCCATGCAGGAGGCGCCATGGTCAGGAATCGAACCCATGACCCCGTTTGACCTCCTATTATATGGTTTTTGGTCAATCTAAAGCAAAATTCTCTAGAAAATTGTATAATGTATGGCCAGCCTTATAGCTTTTGGTACACACTGGAGATTTAAACCATTAGCAGTTGATTATGGGGTGGATTTACTAAAACTGGTGCTCTCAGATTCTAGTGCAGCTGTGCATGGTTGTCAATCAGCTTTTAACTTCAGCTTATTTAATTAAGATTTCACATTAAGCCCGGGTTCACTCTGATGCGGTGCGGAATTTGCAGCGTTTTCTGTGCACCGCATCAGAATTGCACCCCGTTCATGCGAACCGCTGTGGGTGTGTATGTTAACAACACCCAGAAATCGGTCCGCAAAACGTGGTGCGATGTGCAGAATTGGATTGCATAGGCGTGAATACTTATGCGATCCGATTCTAGTGCGGACCCAAAAAAGAATCCTGCACCTTTTTGGTGTGGATGCGGTGCGATTTGAGCCATACAAAATGTACGGCTCCAATCACTCCGCACAGAATTCGCATGTGATTTGCACAGGAATGCAGTGCGGTTCTTGTGCGAATCACATGTGATATGCCGCACCACACAAGTGTGAACCCGGGCTAAAACCCGGAAACTGATTGGTTGCACCAGATTTTGCACTCCCCAGTTTTAGTAAATCTTCCCCTATGTTTCTCAGAATTTGACCTATTACTATAGTTACATTTCCAGGTCTGCAAGTCTGACATTTAAGGGCCTATTTTAAGGTGGGCAGAAGTATGTAAAACCCCCAAATTAGGTGGGCAGGATCAGGAACTCTTGTATCACTTCAATAGTTACTGCAGGCAGGGGTGTATTTACTACAAGGCAAACAAGGCATTTGCCTAGGGCGGCATTTTTCAGGGAGCAGCAGCATTTTTTCAGGGTGGCTGCGTGCTGCTTGATGGTGTACGCAGACCCTTGTTCTTGGGGATGTCCGGAGCTGTGAAGATGAGTGTCTTATGTTTTGCTGAGGCGGGGGGTTGCCAGTGTATGGTGGGCAGTGATAGTGGAAGGCTCTCTCGGGCTGGGGGGCTGGGGTGTTGTTGGTCAATGTAAGGCTCTCTTTGTGGGGGAGCAGGGGTGTTGGTCGGTGTCAGGGTCTCTCCATGGGAAGGGGAGCCAATTTTTTTGTTGCCTAGGGCAGCATGAAACCTAAATACATCACTGAGTTACTGAAATTGTAAGAAGCCAGAGTGACCTACCAAACTCCACCTATAATTGAAATATCACATTTAGGTAGGTTGGTCTTTTAGGAGATGCACACTTGACTATAAAATACTACACAAGTCCTGGGTTTGCATTAAAAGCTTACTGAGGCCCGTAGTGTAGAGTGATAGAACTGGGTCCTGGTGCAAGATATGACCCAGAACTTCTGAGCCTCAATGTATTACCTATTTCTCCAGACTTAACGTACCCAACAACCTGCCAACTCTGTATTTACACCTGTAGAACACTTACTCTATACCTAAAACTTGGGGAAGCGACTTGACAGCTGGGCATTGAGTCTAAACCTAATATTTTAGCCCAGAATTTCCCAACCATGGTGACCCCGGAGTTTGCCAGGGGATCCTTTAGCAGCGAGAAACAGTGGGTTGATCTACTACCTATGCTGACCATTAGTGCTAGAGGGCAAGTTTCCACTGACCATCAATGTACAGAGTCACTTCTACACTGATCATAAATGTTAGAAGACACCACAATTTTTACTGCCCGCCTTGGGGAAGTGTAAGCCTGATACTTTAGCCCAGTGTTTCTCAACCAAGGATCAGTGAAATCCTAGGATTCCTCCTGAGGGTGCTAGGGATTCCTTGAGCAGCCCAATGTTTCTCAACAAGGTCTGTGAAAACTTGAGGTTTCTCTTGAGGTTGTTAAAGGTTCCATGAGTAGTGAACAATGGTGGTTTGATCTCCTACCTGTCAGGAATGGACTCACCACTGGTGGTGGGACTCACCTGCCGTGTGGGCTGCAGTACCAGGGCTGGCCAGCGGGTGCTCTTAGCAGCCAGAAGCTCACTCCTGCAATCAAGCCATCACCTGAGGCTGATTGCAGGAGGTGTATTTAAGGAATGGCCAGGCATGCAGTCAGTGCCTTGGTGTATTGTTTCCCTTGGCCCCTGTATCCTGATCCTGCCTGCTTTGATCCTGACTCTACACGAACTCTGCCTGTACCGACCTCGGCTATCCTGACCACTCTCCTGTCTGCTTCTTGTACCTTGTCTGCCCGTTTGTTACCGACCCGGCCTGCCCAACTACGTTTGGTGTTGTACATATTGTTATCTGTTGGAGGTTTGGTTTGTTTGCACTGTGTTTATGTTTAGCCTTGCACTGTGTTTATGTATTGTTTAGTCTTTAATAAATTGTATTGTTTTATACTATACCTGAAGCCTGCTTTTCCCTGTGTTAGTCCACACATCTCTGGTCATACCTGGAGTCCTGACACTACCTATCCTGACCACCAAGGCAAAAGAGGTCACTTCTACACTGACCAGAAATAGAGGACACCACAGTCTTTACTTTCTGATATGGGGGAGTTTAAACCTAATACTTTAGATCGAGGTTTCTCAACCAGAGATCCGTGAAATGCTAGGGATCCTCCCGAGTTTTTCAGGGACTCCTTGAGCAATGACCAGTGGGGGATTGATCTAGCTATCCTGAGCACCGATGCAAGAGGGTAATTTTCCATTTCATATAAGAGGTCACTTATAAAGTGACCACAAATGTTAGTGGACACCGTAGTTTTTACTTTCTGTTATGAGGGAGTTTAAACCTGGTACTTTAGATCGAGGTTTCTCAACCAGGGATCCGTAAAATCCTGGGGATCCTCACGAGTTTGCTAGGGACTCTTTGGACAATGACCAGTGGTGGATTGATCTCCTACCTATGTTGACCACCAATGCAAATGGTCAATTTTCCATTAAACACCAATATAAGGGGTCACTTCTACCTTAACGTCAATATTACCATTGCACACGTTCCTGCATCAGTTGTAGCGGGTGCTGTAGCAACATCTAGCTGGGGAAACTGGAACAATCACAGATTAATGTTCATATTTGCCAGCACATGACAGGTCATCAATGTCATCTGAAAAGCTTTTCAAACGACATTGATGATCCGTGGTGTGGTGGCAAATATGAATGTCGTACTTCTACCTTAGCTACACATGTTAGAGGACATTACAATTTTTACTGTCTGCCTTGGTGGAGTCTAAACCTGATGCTTTAACCCAATGTTTCTCAACCAGGGTTCAGTGAAATCCATGGGTTCCTCCTGAGTTTGCTAGGGGTTCTTTGAGCAGTGACCAATGGTGGATTGATCTCCTACCTATGCTAACTAATAATGCAAGGGGGCAGTATTACATTAAACACTAACGTAAAGCCAGCCATAGAAAGGTCGAAT